CGTCCTCGAGGACAGACAGTTTGAGCCCAAGTGCCTCGCGGCTGCTGTACCTCATCTCGCTTCTATGTTGCTTTGCCCTGAGGGAGAACCGGATGCACTAGACATCCTGACCCCGCGCTCTTACGCAGAGGTGATCACAAGTGAGTATTCCTCTCAGTGGCAGACAGCCATGGATGCAGAGATGGCTTCCTGGAAGTCCACAAGCACCAACGTCGACGCATTTCCCCCTCCTGGGGCGAACATAGACGATGTCATGTGGACTTTCATAATGAAGCGGCCGCCGGGTTCTCCACCTGCCTTCAAGGCGCGTTACTTTGCACGAGGCTGAAGTCAGCGACAGGGGGTCGACTTCTTCCGGACCTTCTCCCCCACCCCGAGGATGACAACTCTTTGGATTTTACTACACGTTGCAGCACTTCGTGACTACGAGCTCCACTGGCTTGACTTCAACGCAGGTTTCTTGCAAGGCAGCCTTCATGAGGAGATATGGCTGCGCCGCCCACCTGGCTTCACTTAGTCGTTTCCTGAGAGTTCCCATAGGAGCCTCCGGCGGCCAGTCTACGATATCCGCCAGGCGCCCCGCGAGTGGCACGACAGACTGAGGACGACACTTGCAACTCTTGGGTTCGCTCCTTCGACTGATGACCCGTCGTTGTTTCTGCGCACCGACACTTCTCTGCCCCTGTTCGAAATCCTCGTGTACATCGACGACTTAGTTTTTGCTAGTGTTGACACCAAGGCACTGACCCTTGTAAGGCGGAGCTGCAAAAGAGACACACTTGCACTAACCTGGGTGAGCTGCGCGACTATCTAGGCTTGCAGATTGTCAGAATGTTATTGTTCTCTAGCCTGCAGTGGGGTACTCTATAGCGAGTACAACCCCCTAGGGTTTCCTATATGTATCCTGCTGCTTTCTAGTGAACATCCTCCTTTGCTTATTCTCTCTTGCCTAGCTAGGGCTTACCTAGCTATGGCTCCTACTCATGCCTACGATTTTAACACAGATCACCAAGGACAGAGCACAGCGCACCATCACTCTGACTAAGTCATACATGGTGCACCGGGTCCTTCAGCGCTTCGGCTTCCAGTTCTCCTCGCCATAGTCCACTCCTCTGCCTACAGGCCACTCGCTCTCAGCTCCACCTTTAGACGAGTCCGTAGAGCCGAGTGGTCCGTATCCAGAGCTTGTGGGCTGCCTCATGCACCGTATGACTTGCACTCGACCTGACCTCGCGTACCCACTCAGCATCCTGGCGCGCTTCGTTGCGTCTAGGATACACCGACCAGAGCACTGGCGGGCTGCTAGGAGGGTGCTGCATTACTCGTGTAGTACATCGGGCATGGGGCTTCTGCTTGGAGGGCGGGGCTCAGTTGTACTCACACGACATTCAGACGCTTCTTGGGCCGGCGACTATGCGACTCAGCGGCCGTCACCGGTTACACTTTCAGTCTCGACTTTGGTTATGTCTAGTGAAGGTCTAGTATTTTATCATCCGTGCTTGGTGCCAGCTGTGAGGCCGCGATCTACGTTAGGGATATGGTGGCACAGGCATTACGCTAGCTTACCTACTTGCTGAGTGACTTGGGTGAGCGGCCTCATTCTCCTCCTGTTCCGTACGTCGACAACAAGGCCACAAATGCCTTGTGTCGGGAGCAGAGACTGGAACACAGAACGAAGCACATTGCTCTTCGTTACTCTCTTGCTTGAGAGTTCCAGCAGCGTGGTTAGCTTCGCCTTGCTTACGTGGCCTTTCGGGCCAACAGTGCTGATATCTTCACCAATGCCCTTGGGTCTGGTGATCATCAGCGTTTATGCACTACTCTAGGCCTTGTGCCTACTCTGCCTCACTTGCTTACTGCTTGAATTTGCCTTGTACTATGATCTATATATCTATACATGCATGCTTACTCATGCATGTCAACTGACCTTGTGGCCGCTTGCTTGTGCTCAGACTTCGTGGTGATCTTAAGATCCACCATGAGCTTTGCTTTGTTTGTCCCTTTGCTTGACTAGTCTTGTGACCGTTTGTTGTGTTTGCTATCCCCCACTTAGCCTATGGGGGTGTGTCAAATCTGCATGTTTATGTGTCATCTCTTGGCTATAGTGGGGTAGCCTACAAGGGGTACAAGTTATTAGGGTTAGCACTTGTACCCCGCATTCTCATAGTTCATCCACTCCTGCTCACTAGATTCTGACCGAGATACAGTGCACAGAAAAACGAAATAGCATATGATTGAAAGTAACTTCAAGATGAAGGAATCTGGTGTCAACATATACATGGTATGCGTTTGCGTGTGAGTTTAGACTACGTTGTACTAAAGGAAGTACAGGTTAGCTAGATATACCCCCTCTGTACGCCCTCATTCCTAGCTCATGATGTTATTAACATGGTATTACGCTAGATTAGGTTTCTCGCTTCTGCCCATCCTACCTCCCTGGCTGCTCTTCGTGCCCTCATGCCCCCCCACCTCCCTCCCCCCCCTCTAGCGCCCCACCCACCCCCTCCCCCCCTCTCCCCCACCACCCTCTCTCTTTGTTGCGGCCCCCCTTAGCGGCCCCCATCACGGCCCCGTCGCGTCCCGTGCCCTACTTGTTTCGCGCATGCCTCGCCCTACCGTGCCCGCCGTCCGCCTACCGCGCCCTAAAACCTTAGCCATGCCGCGCACATGACGTGCGCCCTTCTGCGCCCTGCCGCGCGCTTGTGTAAGATAGAGATAGTGACTATCGTATGATTTAGGAACTAGGGTAGAAGGATATCGAGAGGAGGAAAGGGGCTGAAAAAGGAGGAGGAGTACAATGTAAAGGCAAGAACAAACAAGGCAATGGAGTACACCACGAACAGACAGTGTAACTCCACTACACCACATTCAAAGGGCGGTTTAACATCTGACGCGCTCTCTACTGCGAGCCTGCGTGCCCTGTTGCGCCTTGCCGCGCTCGCTGCGAGGCTGCCGTGCGCCCTACCACGTCTTGCCGCGCGCCCGCCGTTGCACCCTGCCGTCGTGACTGCCGCGCGCTTTGTTGTCGCGCCTACCACTGCGCCCTGCCTCCGCGCCTCCCGCGCGCTTGTCAAGCTTGCCAGCCGTGTCTGCGGTCACGATTTCGGGGTTATCTATGCTTGAATGCCTCTGAATGTCCTGTCATTCGCCTGTGGTTGACCCTACTCATCTTCTATAGCTGTGCCCCTGCCTACTCCTATTACGGCGTCCGGTTTCGTACTGCGGCTCGATGTGGGGGGGCGGCATAGCCAACGTCAGGACAACGTCTGCATGTACGCCCATATTTCGGATGAGTTACCTGCCCCACAACGTCCCCGTACCCTTACTGCTGAACCCACCTCGGAGGAGCAGGAGGGCTCACAGCGTGGTCCAGCTTGCATACCCGATTTGGGTGTCGTGTGACGCTACTGCGTGCCTTGATCTTGTTCGCCTCCAGTGGTAGGGGCGCGTCGGTAAGGCGCTAATGGGGCTGCCAAAAGGGCCAAGAAGAGGCGCAAAGAAGCGCGGGGCGACATAAAGAAGCTGTAGATCATGCCCAGTAGCAAAACGCGACCCATTAAAGAGCGCTGCCGTAGCAGCAAGGGGATTCCAAACCTGCTCCTATACCATGTCAAAAGTGGGTTTGGGAGATATTAGACTAGGAAGTTGCGAGAGTGAAAGGGCGTTGGACTAGAATGAAAAGATCAGGAAATACAAGCAAGACAAAGGTGCACCGCCAACAGTTGTAATATTACGAGTTACACTACATTGTGATGTAAGCAGATTATATATCAAAATATATGTTTTGACAGTTATACCTCGCAAAGTAATTAATATATGTGTAGAGACAAACATAAAGCTTAATGATAAGATTGGTATACCTATGTGTACAACTTTGTTGAAGAAACCGCCCCAACAGCTCCACAATTAGGCCTTTTGACGAGTCGCTACTCGATTAGCGACATTGACAAAAGACGAACGACGCATTAACGAATGTTGTAATTTCAGCGTCGACGTGCGGGACCAACCGAACCGCCTTCGCTCTTTCCGAGCCCAAAAATGCCCTGGGCGCGAAACTTTCATTTGTGTCAGGTTGTGCTTGTGAGGCTTGCTGCTGGCTCGAGATAAACCAAGGGGCGATGCGGAGTTGTCCCTAAAGTCCAAGCCATGTCATCAAGTCGGCATCCCATCAAACCCGAAAGAATCACGACCTTCGTGCCGAACCGCGCATCCATTCGAGGACACCAAGACTTTCCAGCATGCCCGAAGTTTAGCTGGACCTAGTTACCACAATCTACCAGCCTTCGCCTATTCATGACGTTACGTTTCTCAACGCAGGGCGGTTTCGTGGTGCACGATCGCCACGGGCCATGGTTCTTTCTAGCACGATTCGCATCGAGCACAACCTTTTCGCCGTCTTTCGTGAATCCCCACCTTACCATTTCAAGGGACATTCTCGACAGTGCCGCCTCAGATTCAGCTGCCCGAAGTGTTATTGTCGAAGGAAAGGGAAAACAGTGATGGATGGTGTGTGGGATGGACGGATGTAATCAGCAGCAGTTATGCCATGGACGAACCAACCCAATTGCAGGGCTGGCTTTCTTTTGAGCTTCCCCAAGCCCAGATCTTGCCTCTATGATGCCAAGGGTCTGTCCCAACACAGTGCTGCACACAGCTTGATGTGCTTGTTTTCTGGAGATTTCAGCCAACAGTCCCCCACAAAACCGAATGTCATACAGACCTTCGAATCAGTCAGTTTTTTTCGGGATCGTCAAGTAGTTTCATCAACGTACCGAATTCTCCGCGGCGTATTCATGGGTGGTGTCAGTAACGGGCTGCGAGATCTAAGGAACGGCAGATCTTTCGGGTGGCACGATAGTTTCATCTAACCCTCGCCTGTGTAGCTAGGATCCATAGGAGACCCAGCGATAGCACGGCTTGAACGTTACGCTACTGTCCCGTCGCGAACGGTTTCCATCCGCAATCAGGAAAACAGAATAATATCCGAATAATTCCACCAGATGGCCCCGAAGGTCCTCCCCTCCGCACCGGACGGCGCGCTTGCGCACTACGAGATGGGCGAGCGGCTCGGGAAAGGCTCTTTCGGCGTGGTGCACGAGTGCCGCAACCGCCACACGGGTTTCCAATACGCGTGCAAGATCATCGACAAGAAACAACTGCGCGACGACGCCGACGCGGAGGACGTGCGCCGCGAAGTGCGCCTCCTGGCGCGGCTCGCCGGCCACCCGAACGTCGTTGAGCTACAAGACGTGTACGAGGACGACGGCCACGTGTACTTAATCATGGAGCTCTGTTCCGGCGGGGATCTGTTCGACGAGATTAAGCGGCACGGGCCGTTCGCGGAGGAGGACGCGCGCGCGATTTTCCGCCAGCTCGCGACGTCCATGGCGTATTGCCACGCGCAGGGCATCATGCATCGGGATATCAAGCCGGAGAACGTGCTTCTGCTCGCGCCCACTGGGCGCCCGCCGGTCACGCCGCAGCCTGCGCTAGGAAGGGAGCAGGCTGGAGCGGATAGCAAGGGGAAGGCGGAGGGAACGGCTGTAGGTTCCGCGCAAGGGCAAGAGCAGGGGCAGGGGAAGGGACACGGGCACGGGCAGAGTCCTAGTCAGGCACTGGGGCCCGTGATTCGACACTTGAACCTCGGTTTCCTCGGTTCGTCGGCTCCCGTGCCGATGGCGCGAGGCGGAGTGGCGAAACTCGCCGATTTCGGGCTGGCGATGGAGTTACCACCAGGGGAGTCCGCGGCGGGGCTTACGGGCAGCAGGTACTACACGGCGCCGGAAATGGTGCGCGGGAGGCGGTACGGGAAGCGCGCCGATGTATGGTCCATGGGCGTCGTGCTGTGCACGTTGCTCACGGGACGCCTGCCGTTTGCAGGTAAGACGCATAACGACGACGAGGGCTTGCGGAAGTCAATCCTCCGCGGGGCGATCAATTTCGAAGCGGCCGTCTGGCGGAGCGTCTCGCCGTTAGCTCGCGATCTCGTCCGGCAGATGCTGACGGTCGACCCGCGCTGCCGGCTGAAAGCGAAGCACGTGGTTGACCATCCATGGCTGCTGTCTGTTGCCTGTCCCCCGCGACTCACGTCGACATCCCTTGTGCCGAAAGGAAGGGGGATACCCCTTTCGGAGCTCTGCAACAGCGCGGCGCTTGCGGCTGCGGCGGCGGCGGCGGCGGGATTGATGATTGCGGAGGCTGGGGCGGGGTTAGAACCGGAAGGGGCGAAGGCAGGCGCAAAGGTGGCGGATGAGGGGACGGATTTGACGGGAAGCGAGAAGGAAAGCCATTTCGCAAAGGTGGTTCCCGAAGTGTCTGGTGCTGCTCCTGTCCTTGCGGGGACAAACGCAGCGGCGAATGCTGTTGCCGCGTGGCAGGAGGAGGAGCAGCAGCAGCACAGGCAGAAGCTACAGCAGCAGCTGAAACAGCTGCGGGCGCGCAAGGAGAAACACCACCATCATCATCAGCAGCAGCAGCAGTCACGGTCCCCAGCTGGCTCACCGAAAAAGGTTGTGCCTATTCTCCCGCCACCTCCCGTTCTCGTCCCCGCAAGTCCCGGCTCCCCCAGTGGCTCCGAAGGAAGCGCGGGTGAGGACGACGACGACGGCTCGTATTCGCCGGACTACGGACCAATCGGAAGCATCCCTCCGTCGCCTCCGGGCGAGCCGCTCCCCATGCCCAGCCGCCCCTGCTCCCCCCTTCCCGGGCGCAACTCCCGCTCGCGCAAGCCAGGCACGCCCAGGAGCTTCCGCCGCGCGCTGTTTCCGCCAGGAGGGGGGTCTGGCGCAGCGGCGGGAGTTGGCGGGTCAACGCGGGGCGGAGGGAAGGTGGGTGCGGGGGCTAGCGGAGGGCCTGTGCGGGGCGCGGGGATGGTTGGTGCTGGCGGTGCTGGTGGTGGTGGCGGTGCTGGCGATGGTGGTGGAGGGGGAGGGGGCGTTTCAGGTTCTTGGCTTGTGCCAAACACCCCCCCTGCTGCGTCGTCACCCTTGGTTCTCAGGCTGCTGGGTTCGGGTCAGGGTAAAGGTGCAGGAGCAGCAACGGGACGGCAGGGAGTGGGCGCAGGTGCAGTGGCAGGAGCGGGAAGAGATCGGGGGGGAGCAGCAGCGGGTAGAGAGCGAGTGGAAGGTGCCAGTGAAATCAAGCTAAGCTCAGCAGCGGCTGCTGCTGCTGTGGAAAATGCCATTGCGGTGGTAGAAAGTTCCATTGCGGTGGGAGGGATGGAAGGAGGAGACGTGGGAGGGGCAGGGAAGGCAGCAGGGGAGGTGGGAGTGGGGTGCACCAGTGCTGCTTCTGGGTCGGAGACTGGTGGTTTGTCTGGATGGCTGGCAGGGGAGGAGATGGCGATGCTGCGAGCTCTGGAGGAGAGACTGAGCAGGCTCGAGGCATGCAGGGCCATGTTCATGCCTCCTGCTGTTGCTGTTGCTGCTACTGGTGGGACGGGCAGAAGGCAGGGCTGTTGAGCATGAGATGGATGGAGTGTGGGGTTGCTCGGTGATGTGAGAAGAGAAAATCAACCCCACCTCCCACTCTTCCACATGATCCCTTTCCCCACTCGTCCCCTCCGCCTCAACTCACCACCACCATCACCACCACCACCTCCACCACTCCTTCCATCTATACGCGTAGTCTCCTGCTGTCCTGACTTGTGGCTTGTCACTACTGTCACAAATGGTAGTGAGACCGTACACCAACATCATGTGGATATGCACATGCAGGCCATGTTCGGTATGGAATGAGAATCCTTGCCGTTCATTCCGTTCATAGCAACCTTTCTGCTGTTGGTAAAGTGCTAGATAGATAGGAGATGGAGATGGTCGTGGGGCATTGTCTTGTTAGGGATTCGCAATACCACTAGTTTTGTTAGTCTATGTCATGCGCTAGGCTATGTCTACATGTGCTTTGGCAGGCGGTAGCCAGCTGATTATATTTCTATGTGCTTTCATCACAAGTGTACCTTAATATAGATTATTCTATTGTAACTTGGCTTTTCATGCTTGTTCTAGTTTACGAGGATGAAAATTGGAAGTGTTGTACCATGCTGATGCGTTTTTTGGGAGTTCTAGGGCTGCAGTCTTATGGTCGTTTACTACTTGGGAGCTTAACAAGATCTATTCTGTAGCGAAACAAGAAATTCGTATGCTTGAGGTTCTTCTTCCAGCCCTCACCGAAAGGAGCTTATATCGGGGTACGAAATTGGGATACCAAGCCCAAGGAAAACCCCAAGCCAATCCCATGGCCCATCGTACGGCTGAAATTGGATGTAGCAATAATAGTCCCGTGGCCCAGCCCCAGCCCCAGCAGATGTCAGGACGCGGTAGAGGTGCTAAATCGGGGGGAGATCGATCCGGTCACCGCACTGAAACTCTGCGTTTTGCATACTAAAAATATACAACCGTTTATAACTGCGTTAAAAAACGAACCTGAGGCAATCGATTCTCCACTTTTACCACGTCCTCATGGTCCCACCACCACCACCACTTCACTCCGCCATCAATGTAGTGACGATTATTGCTCGTTCAAGCCGCTCAGGCGGCTTACCAACTTGACGTTCTTAGAACGCCAGATTTGCCCATCTAGTGAGCTGCTCCCTGGCGGCGTTTGATCGAATCGCGAGACGCGACGTACGGACGTGAAGGCACGTCGGATCGCTTGGATCTGTGAACCATTCATTTTGTTCCTTTCAAGTCGTAGAAAATTAAATCGGCTGTGGATTTCTATCATAGGTCACACGGTAAGAACGAAATTGAGTTGCTAAGGTGCCAGGGCTGGTTGAATCAGGTTATTGACGACTGAAGGGAAGTTACGGACGCGATGGAAGAAAGATGCCAGGTGGAGGTGGAAGATAGTTGTGAGGTTTCAGGTGGAGGATAGATGACAAGTGAAGATGACAGATACGGATCAGTGAGGCTTGTGGTCGACTTGAGGTAAGGTGTCTAGCGGAGAGTAGTAAGAGACGGTTCTGTGAGTTATCACGGACCCGATTCCCCTCGAGCCCGTGAGACCTCGAAGTCCTGTTACGCAAGCTTCGTTCAATGTCTCGCATATGACGAGGGCGCGTAAGTGAGACGGATGCGGAGGGGGGTGGATGGGGAGGAATGAGGAAGGGGTAGGGGGGAAAAAGGGGAAGCGAAGGATGCGAGGGGGTGAGGGGGTTCGGGGAAGACGGAGCGTGGGAAAAGTTATGGACTAAAGCATCCAACCATTCGCGCTAAAAAGTTTCTCGAATCAGCGATCGCTTGCCTGTACTGGCGTAGTCGTGCCTGTTCGCCTGGTTCGGTCTAGCTTAGCCTAGTTCCCTTTCATAAAGTTTATTATCTGGTAGGTATCGTCCAGCGTCATTCATGGATCGTCCCTCTCGCATCGTCACTTTTCAACCATGCATCGACAGTAATCGATCATGCTTGACTAAGCGTGTACCACCTACTATTACGACAACCATCATTCCATTTTTTTCCACACGTCAACCACTTACCTCCATGCAAGATTCACCTTATCTACATGATCAAGCATCCATTACCCGCTATCACCACCAGCTCTTACCATCCGCTAATACCAACTAATACCACCTTAATAGTTCCTGGTCGATTATGCTGCGTATCGATTTCCGGCCCTAGTTGTCCCGCTCAGTTCTCCTCGGCATTTACCTACTCACTTTCCCTCTTCGCGTTCCCCATTGCCCTCCCTTATTCCCACTATCCAGCAGCAGCAGCAGCAGCAGCAGCAGCAATAGCAGCCATGGCTCTCGGACCATCCGATGCATCTCCTCCTCCTCCCTCCCACACTTCCCCCACGCACTCCTCTATCGATTCCCCCGGTCCTCCGCCCTCCGCCGTTCCCCCTGGCGACAGCACCTCCGCTCCTTCCGCGCTGCCTCACAGCCCGGACGCAGCCAATGGGAGCGACAAGGAGGATGATATGGTGCTACAGCCGTTGGTAGACTATGGTAATATGGACGACTGGGATGAGGATGCTGACGTGGAGGATGAGCTCCTAAGGCCAGCTGTTGAACGGGTTAGCGATTCGCCCTCCCGCCCTCCTCATTCCCCGTTGCCTGCTGCGGAAACGAAAAGGGGAGAAGGGAAGGGGAGGAAAGGGGAAGATGGGGAGAGGGAGGAAGGTGCGAAGAAGGGCGGAGAGGAGCGGGGCGAGGGAGAGGAGGGTGAGAAGGACGAGGAGAGGAGAATCAGCGAAGCGGAGGGGAGGAGTGGCGGTGAATGGAGAGCGGAGAGGGACAGAGGAGACAGAGGGGAGAGAGTGCATCAAGTGGATGAGTTTGGAAGAGTCGTGCGGAAGGGAGAGGGGAGTGAGAGCGACGATGATGCAAGAGACGTAAGGAAAGGGAGGAGGAGGAGGAGTAGGAGCGCGGAGAGGCATCGTTCAAAGAAAAGAAGCAGGAGCAGGAGCAGGGGGAAGGGCAGAAGGAGAAGCAGGAGCAGGAGCAGGAGTCGGAGCAGGAGCAGAGGGAGAGGGAGAGGGAGGAGTAGAAGCAGAAGCAGGAGCCGAGGGCGCGATGCTGGTGGGGAGGAGAGAGGGAGGCAAGGCGGCTCACCTGATGGCAGCAGCAGGAGAAGGTCTGTTCGCTCTCCCTCTCATTCCCCCTTCCCCCGCCCAACCGCCCACTCCTCCTGCCGTCTCTTTTTCTCTCGAATGGTCTTCTATTTCTATCTCTCTCTTTCGCACGCACATCCTCGCCCTTACCTCTGGCAACCTGCTCTCTCTGCTCTCCCTTCATGACACCTCCCTCCCATCCTCCCTCCCCTCGCCATCTGTCTGCGGGCTCCGTTCCTCGTCTTTCCTCGGCCCATATCTTCGTATGTGCCCCACTAGTTCATCATATCAAACGTGTGCATTGCACAGTACCATACCATTCCGCACTTTCCCTTCCCAACTCCCTGTATCCGCCTTAAATAAAGGCGTTCGGTTCTTTATTGTCCGCTGCACCTGTCCCCCTTCCCAGTCCATCTCTGTCCGCCGTAGCATCTGCGCCCGCTCAGGCATATACCCCCTCACCCCCCTCCCCCTTCCCCCCCCCCCTCCCCCTCCCCACCCCCCACTCACATCTCCGGCCCCTTTCTCCGCTTGTGTCTCCCCTCCGCTCCCTTCCCGCCTCAGCCCTTCCTCCCATGGCAGTCGGCCCCGGGAGGGGAGGGCGCGGGGAGGAGGAACGCGCGTTTCGCGCTGGGGTGAGGGTTGCGGGGAGCAGCCTAAGGAGCAGGGGAAGGAGCAGCAGAAGGATCAGGAGCAGAACGAGGAGCAGGGTCGGGACGAGAGTCGGTGGGAGGAGGGCAGGTGGGATGAGGAAGAGGATGAGGAGCGGGCGCAGAGGGGAGGGAGAGGCAGGAGGGAGGGGGAAGAGGATGACAGGAGGGAAAGGCTTGAGAGGGGGAGGAGGGAAGGATGGGAAAGTAAGGAAGGGCGGCGGGAATGGAAAGGCAGCCAACGGGAAGACAGAAATGAGCGGGGAAGGGAGAGGGAGAGGGAGAGGGGGAGGGAGAGGGAGAGGCATATGGAGAAGGGGGAGGAGTGGGAGAAGGAGCAAAGAGGAGGGTCAGAGAGGGATAGGAGGGATGGTGGGAGAGAGTGGGGAAGTGCAGGAAGAGAGAGGGAAGAAGGTGGAAGAGGACGAGAGGGGAGGAGATCTGGGGACAGTGACAGGGACGGAGAGTGTTGGAAAGAAGGGCAACTGAACGGGAGGGAAAGGCGGAGAGAAGGGGGGAGAGAAGCAGGGAGAGGGCAGTCCAGTGGTTGGGATGAAGGTGGGAGGTTGTCAAAAGGTGGTGAAGCAGAAGGAGCAGGTGCCATTGCGCCTTTGAAGGGACCTACAGGTGAGGATAGTGCTGCAATGATTGCTGCCGCAGGAGCGGTTGCTGCTAGGTTCGCTGCTGCTAAAGCTGCTGCTGCTGGGATTGTTGCTGCAGCAGGTGAAAACCCAGGGGGGTCGGTCTTGGAGGGAGGGCGTCAAGACAAGCAGGAAGGGAAGGAAGAGAAGGATGAGGGGGGAGGGCAAGCAGCAGCAAGCGGGGCACGGAAATGGGCCTCGAAATGGGATAAGACTGGCGGAACCGGTGCTGCTAGTGCTGCTGCTCCCACTGTTGCTGCCCCTGGCCCTTCCGTATCTGCTGCCTCTGCCTCTGCCCCTGCTGCTTCTGCCCCTGTACCGTTTCCACTGCCCGGCCAGCCACAACCCCATCACCAGGAATCATCCTCTGCCCCCCCGTTCAACCAGCAGCCTCCTTTCAGGCCTCCCTTTCCTCCTGCTCCTGCCTCTCATCCCCCTTTTGGTGCCGCCCCTCCTCCTCACGCTAACATCTATCCCTCGGGACCATTTCCCCAGCAGCAGCAGCAGCAGCAGCAGCAGCAGCAGCAGCAGCACCCCAACTACCCGCAGCAGCAGGGGCAGGGATACAGGCATGGGCAGGGACAGTGGCCCGGGCAGGGGCAGGAACAAGGTCCCCCATGGGCCCCCCACGCGCCTCCCCTTCCGCCTGTTCCCCCTCCCCCGCTGCAGCCTCCGCCTAGTAACCCCCCACCCCCGTTGCAGCCTCCCCCTCCCCTTCCCCCGACCCCCCCGCCCCCTATGCAGGGGGCGCAGCAGCAGCATCTCCCCCAGCAAGCGCTGGGAGGATGGCCCCAAGGCCAGATGGGGGGGGGAGCGGGCGGATCAGGGGGGAGAACGTGGGGAGGAACAGGGGGAGGGGTTGCATCGGAGGAGTATGACCCTCTGGCTGATTGTATGGACTTGGGGGATGGGGAAGAGAGTGTAGGGGGGCCGTGGCACCAGCGACAGCAACAGCAACAGCAGCAGCAGCAGCAGCAGCAGCAGCAGCAGCAGCAGCAGCAGCAGCAGCAGCAGCAGCAGCAGCAGCAGCAGGGTGGTCCAGTGCCACCTCTTACCCACCAGTTTCCAGGGCATTCTCAGCCTTTCGTTGGCTCTTATGCCAACAGTTCTGCCCACCAACCCCATTTGCAAGGCCAGCCTCAGTCTGCCATGGCTCCTCAGTTCTCTCAACAGCTACCTCCTCCCCCTCCTCCGCCTCCCCTGCTGCCACCAGCAGCACATGCAAACCCCCCTCTTGTTTCAACCAACACAACCACCAGCACCAGTGCCCCTCTCCATGCTTCTTCCTTCCCGCAGCTGCCCGGTGCCCCCGCCCACCCGTCTCTCTCTGCATCTGGCCTCTCCCCTGCCTTAGCTACTGCCCTCGCGAATGCGGCTGCTGTTGTGGCTGCAGTAGCTGTGCCAGCAGGAGCGTCAGGCTCGTCTTTTGCTCCTGCTATGACAGCAGGGTCAGGGGCAGGCGGAGGGGCAGCCGCAGCAGCAGCAGCTGGAACAGCAGCAGGAGGAGGAGGAACAGAAACTTCTCAGGTTTCGTTGGCTATGCTGCCGCTGCCGCCGCTGCCGCCGCTGCCACCACTTCCCCCACTGCCAGCATCACCACCCGCTGAGTCTGAGCCCGATGATGTTCCTGGGGCAGAGAATGGTGGGGCATCTTCTGACGAGAAGGGCAAGTCAGAGGACGATGTCTCTATGGAAGTCGATGGGCGGGATGAAGATGAGAAAGAGACTCAGAAGGATGTGACTGGGTGGGAGAAGGGCAAGGGCGGTGAGAAGCGGAGATCTGGGAAGAAGGAAGGGAAGAGCGGGAGCAAGCATGGGAGCCGCAGCGGTGCGGGAGGAGGGGGGGAGGAGAAAGGGGGCGACGGGAAGAGTAAGAGCGGGTTGAGTAGTAAGCAGGCTCTGCTTAGAGTGGGGGTTGCGGAAGTGGTAAAGGACGCGCTAAAGCCTGTGTGGAAGGAGAGGGGGCTGTCTCGGGAGATGTTCAAGACGATTGCGAAAAAGGCTGTGGAGAAGGTGGTGGGGGCGGTGCAGGAGAAGCACCTGCCTAAGAATGAGAAGCAGGTGCAGGCGTATCTGAGCGAGCACAGGAAGGAACGGATCACGTCGCTTGTCCAGGTGCGTGCGTGGGTGGGTGCTGTTGGTGCAGTGGGGATTCGTTGTGGGTTACTTGGATGGGGCTGTTTTTGGTGGGGGCTTTTGATGGGCCCACCTTGGTTGTGAGTTGTGGGTGGCTTTCCTGAATGGGGGGCTTTGGGGTTGGGTTCTAATAAGTTTGTAGAAGGGGGAGAAACACCTGCCTGGGGGAAAATGGCTCTGTGAGGACAGTGCTCTAACTTTATGCTCTTGCATGCGCTCCCATGCGGGCATGCAGGTGCGTGGACACCTGAGTGAAGGGGCTTGCTGTGGGTATATGCACACACGTAGTCAGTCCTTTGTTGGTCTTGCACTGTTTTATGGCTTCATCGTAACCCACCAATTCCCCTTCTCATCCCTCTATCCCCGTGACACCCATGTAAGTCATGTACCATACTTAACGACCCTTCTTTCCACCTGCCCATCTCGTGTACCGTACTACCCGCCTTTCACAGGCCTATGTGGACAAGTACAAAAAGGGTTGACACATGGGATGGGAGGATGGATGTACGGTATGATTGATGGGCAAATGGTTTTGCTGTAATGATGCATGTGGGTCATCATGCAGTAATTTTTCTTGGTGGCACTCGTACCTAGTAGACCATTTTTTTGTACAAGGATTTTAACCGATTTCATGCACTTCTTTGCCTGTCAGTCAGCACTTAGGGCTTCATTTCTTTGAGGAGAATTGTAGACAGGAGGTGCAAGCAGTAATCTGTAGACAGGAGATGCAAGGACACTGTAGAGAGGAGTGAAGACCTAGTGGCTGATTTCAAATGACATCAAGAAGCCTCCCTAGATTTGAGTAAGCAGGCTGGACATCAAGAAGCTCAGAAGTGTTGCATTGTGCAGATATTCTTTTGTATAGCATCCGTAGTGGGGTATATGCCACTTCATTGGACAATGCTGCTTCATGTGGGGTTACTTGAGTCATATTACAATATGAATCAGAACGGAAAGTTTTTCTCAAGTTTAAGGGTGAAGAAAGCAAGTGTAACTTGTAAATCCTCATTGTTTGAGTGAAGGAAAGAGTTAGTCGTGGTGTTCCCAATCCAACCGAACTTTCCGGGGAAAATATGCCATAAGTAACCAACTTGGGACTCGATAACGTGAATGGTAAACAAAAAAAGCGTACGGTCACTTTATCGGTTTTTCTGACGGGTTTGGTAAGTGGGGTCACGGATTCAGTCACTAACAACAAGTAAAAAATCACGCGAATGGTCTCACATGTAGCTCCCGCCAAAAAAACTTGAAACTCAACAAAATTCCCGCTCGCACTCAACCAATCTGTTAACTTCTAAAAAACAAAAACCCGATCGGAATCGGATGCGGTTTGGGAACGGATCAACCCTTAACACCTGGTGATTCATCCGAACATGCATCCAGGTTCCTTTTGGGTTTCATTTTGTTTTGGCGGGAGTTTCATCTATGACCATTCACGTTTTTTTTTTTTTTTTTTAACGAGTTGATAGTGACTGATTATGTGAAACGTTTTATCATTCGCGGGAAAACACCCTTTGCAGTGACCGTACCCTTTATGTTTTTACCAAAAATGTTATCGAGTCCCGTTTTGGTTACAAAATACATATTCTCCCAACTTTCCGCACGAAACCTCGTTCACGTACATGCATCTCCCGCTACAACTGGTCACTATAGCGAAGAGCCGGAACACAAGCCCAAGAGTTGTCCTGTGCAGTAACGGGGGGTGGTGGTGCGCTGTGGGAGGGGGGTGGGTGTGTGGAGTGTGTAACGGAAAGGGGAATCTGTACAGTGCTGTACATTGGGGGAGAGAGGACAGAGAAGAGTGGAGAGAGGGGGGAGGGGATTGGTGTTCAAGAATTGATCGAGGGGTGAAGGGGGAGGGAGGGAAGGAGGAAGCCTGCTGGTGCTGAGTGATACAAGGTAGCCTACAGTACCCGCATCGGGACTCGGGGGGTGATGGTGCCTTGTGTTGTGTTGAGTGTGTGAGAGCTGCTGCGTAGCTGCGTCGGACGGCTCGTGTGTTGTTTTGTATGGGTCTTGTGGGTTAGTTGTGGTCTGAGGAGTTCAATCGGGCGACGCAAGAGTTCAGCGGTTAGTGATAATCAACTTCACTTAACTGAAAGAAGGCTTTCGAGTCTACCGTCTACCTACGATTGGATCAGCAGCTACGAATAATTGCTGGAACAACCCCCGCAATGTCCTACCAATACCACCGCGTAGCAGCATGAAAAAAGGCGCTTTGTCCGCGCATACGCTATGCGCCGTCCTTGCAGGTCTGGCTCTAGAAGCTCTGTCGTCCAGCGAAAGAAGGAACCGAACGTGCGTATCAATGGCGGTAGGCGTCATTTCGAGCTAAGGAATGGACCGTACGTTAGGCGAGCGTGAAAAGCGCACGGCTCTATACTAGTCCACGTTAGGTCAAGCGCACCCGGAAGCTCCTCGCGCCGCAGCCGCTTCTCTCTTCTACTCCACACGAGCGCGTGGGTGCGTCGTATTGATTATTTTCTACTCCCCCTCGTCGAGCCGCGACCTAGCTAGCTCGCCGTCCGCCTATCGCGCCAGCTCTTGTCTGCCGAGCAGCTGTGTAGCCTCTAGTCTCACCAACACTAGCTCTAGTTCTCTCAATAAGCCGACACGTCTGTGTCGGTTACACGGCAGCTGACAGCGCACCTGCCGGTTTCAGGGTAATTGAAGCTGTTACCCGCAACGGACGCTTCGTCCCGTCGGCGAGGCGTTCTGAAATGGCTGCAGAAACGGCTGCGGGTATGGCAGGCCAGGTGACTTCAGAGACGTCTTTAAACGCAGCTACTGCTGCCGTCCTAGCGAACGTGACTCAAACAGACGGGGCATCAGCGAAGGCGGTGACGCCGGCATCGGCGGGAGTGGAGTTAGCGGCGGCTTCGGCTGCGGTGCCGGCCGCTTCGGCATGCCCGTTAGAAGACGCGGAAACTGCAGCACGGACCGATGCGCATGCGTCCGCGCAAATTCTCACGACAACCGATAACGAGAGAAGGGTCGAGTCGGCAACGGCGAACATGCAAGAAGGGTCGAGCTCGTCCGTAAGTCTTCCGAACAACGGCGTACCGGCTTTAATCTCCGTAGAAACAACACCGACCTCCAGTGAGCCGTTACCCGCTTCTTCCTCCCCGTCAGTTGCGGAGCCTCTCGCGCCTGACGACGTTGCCGCGCGCGCAGATGCGCCTGCGCCCGACCGCGCAACGACAGCTGCTGCGCCTGCGCTTCCGGTCGCTGCACCGGACGAAGCGGCGGACCAGGTTCCGCCGGCCGGTACGCCGAAAGACGCCCTCTCCGCGGCGGCGGCGGCAGGGGGCGCTGGCGGAAAGGGGAAGATGGCGCGGTGGCGGGGGAAGAAAGAGATCGTGGTCGGGCGGCAGGCGGTGCGGCGCCCGCGGGTAGGCGGCGGACATAGCGGCACGTGGGACGTAACTCAGGGCGCACCGGGAAAGGACCCCCACCAGCAGCAGCAGCCTACTATGCAGTTCACTTACCGCTTTAACGTCGGGAAGAAACTAGGAGAGGGAGGCTACGGGCTCGTCGAGACGTGTAGCGATACGACGGGGGAGCTCGGCGCGGGGCCGCTAGCCGTTAAAACCATTTCCAAGGAGGCGCTTTACGCGGACTGTCAGCGGCTCGAGGACTTCGAGGCGCGCCGCATCGCGTTGGCGCGCGAGGTGGAGGTAATGAATCGCGTGCGCGGGCACGAGCACGTGGTGCAAGTTAAGAAGGTATATAACAACAGCGAGCGGTTGCGTGTCGTCATGGAGATGTGCGAAGCGGGTAACCTTCTAGAACACCTCGCGGCGCGGATCGAGCTCCTAAGGCAAGAGCGAGGAAGCTTCGGCAGCGTCGGCGGGTTCTTCGGCTCCAGCGGCGGCGGCGGCGGCGGCATCGGCGGGTTCGTGTTCGGCAGTGGAGGCGGAAGCAGCGGCAGCGGCGGCGGAGGCGGGCGGGGCGCGCGCGGCGGGCGCGGGCCGTGGGCGGGCGGGCTCCCGGAGAACGAAGCGGCGGTACTGTTTAAACAGCTAGTGGAGGGGATCGCGTTCTGCCACCGGCGGCGCGTGCTGCACCGCGACGTGAAGCTGGAAAACGCGCTGCTCGCGCTGCCCACGGGGCGGCCCGCAGAGGCGGACGACCTGGAAGCGGAACTGCGCATGGTCTCCGCGGACATGGCGCACGGGGGGAACGATGCGGCGAGGGGGGGAACTTGGGGAGCGGGTGGGAATGGGCGGGGGCAAGGAGACGAGGGGGTGCAGTCGGGGGGGAACACAACGCCTACTACAGCCAGTCCGCACCAGCGCCACCACCACCACCACCATTTCAATCTCTTCAATATCCTTCCCCAGGGCGCGCGGTCCCCAGCGCCCAAATCCCCCGCTGCTGATAAGTCCCCCAGGCTAAAATTTCCTGATAACTTGCCTCCTGCTGCCGCTGCTGCTGTGGGCGCGTTTGCGCGCTCCGCCTCCGCGCCAGGACCCCCACCCAAATCCCCCATCAACGCGCGCCCGCCGCGCTCCCCGCGCCTCGCCGCGCCCATCCCGCCGTCCCCCTCGGAATCCTCCGCGCCCTCCCCCGCCGCGATCGCCGCCGCCGTGTCCGCCGGGTCGTCCGCCGTCTCCCTCGGCCTCGTGGTGAAGCTAGCAGATTTCGGGTTTGCTATGGTGCTTCGGGATGGGGAAACAGCCTCGGGAACATGTGGCACTCCTGGTTACATGGCTCCTGAGTTAGTATCCGAGGAGAAATATTCCTTTCCGGTGGATATCTGGAGCCTAGGGGTTGTCCTGCACGCGTTACTCTTTGGCGAGTTACCGCATTACCGCGAGCCGCGCGACGTGGTCACCGAGGGTGTGCCGCGCCCGTCTGCCCGGAAATGGAAAGTTATTTCGGAAGCTGCCCATGAGCTGCACCAATCAATTCTCCAGCTGGACCCCTCCAAGCGGCCGACGGCAGCAGAGATTTTAAAGCACCCATGGTTTGAGCAGGCTGAGGCGGCGCTGATGGCGGGTGAAGCGGCAGAGGCAGGGGGGGGAGCAGCGGGGGACAGAGACGGGGCAATCGGCGCTAAGAGCGGGCGAGTGAAGAGTGCTAGAGCAGCGAGCGGGAGGGTGAAATCTGGACGGAATATGGACTTTCTGGGGATGAAGGCGGGTGGGGGGAAGGAGGGCGCAGGAGGAGGAGGAGCTGAGGGGGACGATAAGGGATCGGTGTCTTCCCCTCCTGCTTCTCCGCGCGTGCTGGTGCTTAGGCTGAAGCTGGGAGCCAGGAATCTGGCTCTTAGATTTAAGTACGGCTTTATTCCAACTGCAGGTCCCAAGAAGCAGGCCCAGACAGAGGAGGAGGACGAGGAGGGGAAAGGGGGAAAGGAAGATAAGGGAATTGTGGCTTTACAGGGTGGTGTGGGGAGTGGTGGTAGTGGGTAGAGAGTGGTGGCGAGTGTGAGAGTATCGCAGTATCGCCCACCACAGGCACAGGCACAGACACAGGCAGAGGTTCAGCTACAGCTAGGCACGGGAAGGAAGATGGGAGGTCAGGGTGATGGGAAGGGTGATGGGGAAACGGGGGTTAAGATTTGTGCTTGCAGCTTTGCGACTTTTTCCGTCCTTTTTTTTTCTCTGGTTTTTCTCTCCTTTTTTTCCTTAGGGCAGGTCCTCTCTCGACTCGGTCAACCGCCAGTTTGTACAAAGACTGGTGTTTAGATGAAAGGCTTATCTACCGTACCTACTGTGTTTAGCTTCACGCAAACCCTCCCCCTGCAAAGTGGCAGGTTTTGGGATAGGTCAACATGGGATGGGAGGTCAGAGTATGTGCGGTAATAATTGTAACGGCACTGGTAGGCATGCTGTAGATCTAGTGTCTACTTACAGCGACTCAAGCGTAACTGCGCATACCGTAAAGTCGTTAAGTGATCATGTGTACCGTTTCCTTGCTTGACAAGTACTATGGTGTACAACCAAGTGAAACATGAGCTAATGGAGGTGCACATTCGCATATAATCTACACTACTGCCTCACGCCAGCAAGCAAGCCAGGAGAAATGTTCCATGGTAAACAAACCACCATCTTCCACATTCACCGAAATCACTTTCTAGAGTATATTACACCCAGCCCAAGGCAGGCTTTCTAACATTGATTTTGGTGTGCTATGCTGCCAAGAGAAAGAGGAGCGGCGCCATCACAAGAGCGATTAGCGAGTGGAGGCCCCAGATGGATCGACTCGGGTGGCCTGTATGGGGAGGGGAGGGAGAGATGTGAGGGAGCGGATAAGTGAGCGAGAGTGTATGTGTTCGTGTGTGTGGGTGTGTGTGTGTGGGTGTGTGTGTGTGTGTGTGTGTGTGTGGGTGTGTTCGTGTGTGTGTGTGTGTGTGTGTGGGTGGGTGTGTGTGTGTGTGGGTGGGTGTGTTCGTGTGTGTGGGTGTGTGTGTGTGTGTGTCTGTGTGGGTGGGTGGGTGTGTGTGTGTGTGGGTGGGTGTGTGTGTGTGTGGGTGGGTGTGTTCGTGTGTGTGGGTGTGTGTGTGTGTGTGTCTGTGTGGGTGGGTGGGTGGGTGTGTGTGTGTGTGGGTGGGTGTGTGTGTGCTGAGAGAGGAAAAGAGAGAGGGGAATATGTGTGACCGCACCGGGAATGGCAGACATCGTAAATCAAACAGCCCTCTCACACCTCCCCACACCTCCTCACACCTTCCCCACCTCCTGCAACAACCACGCACCTGCTTTCCCCCCGGCACCAGCCGAGTCACTCCCCGCAGTCGCATTGTTCTGAAGCGCCACCGGCAGATCGCTGGAAATCACCCCGTTGCCCTTGTCTGAATCAACAGCCGGCAAACTGCCGTTGCCGCTGCCGCCAAAGGGAGGTGTGACTGGCTGTGGTGAGGGCGGTGCTGCAGCGGGTGCGGGTGGTGCTGGGGGAGGTGGAGCTGGGATGGACGTGAAATATTCACCCGCCGAGCCTGTTGGGGTAAGGGGATTTGGGGGAGGGTGGGGGGAGTAAAAAGGGTGTTATGGAGGCGCCTCAGAAGGCAGGTGGTGCTGGGGGAGGTGGAGCTGGGATGGACGTGAAATATTCACCCGCCGAGCCTGACGGGTGGAGGGGAGGGAAGAGATGGAGGGAGGGTGGTTGTGTCACTTCCGCAGTGGGATGGAGTGGTGCAGTGGGGGTGCAGCAAAAGGAGTGGGGGGGACAGGAACAGATGGATGTGCGTAGGTAGAGTGGCAGGAGAGTCTGAGGGGAAGCGGGAAGAGGAGGAGTGCAAGAGTGTTTTTTTTCTCATTTTTTATCATTTTTCCTCCTTTTTTCTCCTTTCTTCCCCTTCTTCCCTTTTCTTCCCCTTTCTTCCCCTTTCTTCCCCTTTCTTCCCCTTTCTTCTCCTTTCTTCTCCTTTCTCCTTTCTTCTCCTTTCTTCTCCTTTCTTCTCTTCTCCTTTCTTCTCCTTTCTTCTCTTCTCCTTTCTTCTCCTTTCTTCTCCTTTCTTCTCTTCTCCTTTCTTCTCCTTTCTTCTCCTTTCTTCTCCTTACAGTTGAGGGGTCGGAAGGCAAGCTTCTTCTTGGCGAGGTCAAAGCGCAGATAGAGGTCCCGCATCCACAGGGCTGAGAGGGGGGGCCAGGCAGGGGGGATTGGGGGGGGGGAGGAAGAGGGGGAAGAGGGAGGAACGGGGAAAAGGGTTGGGGGGGGGTCACGATAGAGGGGAAAGGGGCTGACGGGGCAGAGGACAAAGCGCAGATAGAGGTCACGCATCCACAGGGCTGAGAGGGGCCAGGGGGGATGGGCGAGATGGGGAAAGAAGGGGAAGAAGGGGACAAATGGGGAAGAAGGGGACAAATGGGGAAGCGGGACAAGGAAGGGGAGAGATGAAAGGAGATAGGAGTGGGGCAAGCTGTTTCGAGGCGCATGGGTATGCACACTGGCGCTGAAGGTATGAGGTTTGAGGTGGGTTTAAACTCCCCACCCCACCCCACCCCACCCCACCCACTTGCCCTCCCACCCTCCGCTCCCACTTACACCCAATGAACCTGTGGGAAAGGTCATCGCCTACCACAATGGCCGACAGGCGACGTTTGAGGCAACTTCAAAACTCCCCAGCCCAGCCCAGCCCAGCCCAGCCCAGCCCACCCAGCCCACCCACCCACCCGCTCTCCCACCCACCACACCCTACGCACCCCCAATGAACCCATTGGAGAGGTCATCATCCACCACAATGGCCGACAGGCGAGGTTTGAGGCGACTGAAAACTCTCGCCCCACCCACCCACCAACCCTCCCTCCCCGCCCCCCCTGCCCCACTTACCCCCAATGAACCCGTTAGAGAGGTCATCGTCCACCACAATGGCCGACAGACACAGGATCATGCCCGTGCTGTCCTCGCCCTGCTCAGGTGTGGTGTTCAGCATTGGGGGGGCATAACGGGGAGGGTGATGGGGGGGAAAGGGTGGAAAGGAAAGGGTGATGGGGGGGAAGGGGACAGTGCAAGGGAACGGACTGCCGATGGGAGGTTGGGTTGAAATGCATCAATCGTTCTTACAAGACTCGACGCACACACAACCATGTCGCGCACACATGAATGGGGAGCATGCAAAAGAATGCAAGAACAAGAGAGCGAGCACAAGCAGCAGGAGGGCTCACGTATTTGATGAGGTAGTTGTTGGGTGTGATCTCCAGCGAGCCCTCCTTGACATGTGATGAGTCTATTTGGAAGTCGACTCAAACATAGACTCATCAAGCGAGCGAGCGAGCGCAAGCAGCAGCAGGAGGGCTCACGTATTTGATGAGGTAGTTGTTGGGTGTGATCTCCAGCGAGCCCTCCTTGACATGTGATGAGTCTATTTGGAAGTCGACTCAAACATAGACTCATCAAGCGAGCGAGCGAGCGCAAGCAGCAGCAGGAGGGCTCACGTATTTGATGAGGTAGTTGTTGGGTGTGATCTCCAGCGAGCCCTCCTTGACATGTGATGAGTCTATTTGGAAGTCGACTCAAACATAGACTCATCAAGCGAGCGAGCGAGCGCAAGCAGCAGCAGGAGGGCTCACGTATTTGATGAGGTAGTTGTTGGGTGTGATCTCCAGCGAGCCCTCCTTGACATGTGATGAGTCTATTTGGAAGTCGACTCAAACATAGACTCATCAAGCGAGCGAGCGAGCGCAAGCAGCAGCAGGAGGGCTCACGTATTTGATGAGGTAGTTGTTGGGTGTGATCTCCAGCGAGCCCTCCTTGACATGTGATGAGTCTATTTGGAAGTCGACTCAAACATAGACTCATCAAGCGAGCGAGCGAGCGCAAGCAGCAGCAGGAGGGCTCACGTATTTGATGAGGTAGTTGTTGGGTGTGATCTCCAGCGAGCCCTCCTTGACATCCAGGAATATGGAGGGGAACACCATGTCCTGCGCCTCACTGCAACAGGGGAGTGAGAGTGATTGCGGTTATTTTATCGAGTCGTGGTTAGTCGAAAGGACGTGGATTTTAGTCGACTCAGAAGTCAGGAATATGGAGGGGAACACCATGTCCTGCGCCTCACTGCGACAGCCAGCGGGGTGGGAAATTGGGAATGGATATATTGAGGTGAGTTTTGAGGCGCATCAACACTTTCCAGCAAGCCCTCCTTGACGTCCAGGAATATGAAGGGAAACACCATGTCCTGCGCCTCACTGCAACAAGTTGACTTTTGAGTCGACTCAAAAGTCAACACGTCCAGGAATATGAAGGGAAACACCATGTCCTGCGCCTCACTGCAACAGGGGAGTGATCACAATTGTGGTAGCCCTTTTGAGTCATTATCGTTTATTTCCCTAAGTGTTTAGGTTGCTAAGATTTGTTGCCCACATAAGTAGACTCAATCGTCACAAATATGGAGTGTCTCGTGCCTCAGTACAGTAGCAGGGTGGGAATGTTAATAGTTCTGGAAAGTGTTATGGTGGTGACATGGAGAAACGAGTATAGGATGAAGTACCTTAGTAAATGCCAAAGTTAAGGTAAGGCACGAGATGGCACGAGATGGCACGAGATGGCACGAGATGGCATGCAATGGGATGAGAGGGTAGGAGAGGGCGGGAGAGGGCGGGAGAGGGCAGGAGAGGGCGGGAGAGGGACTCACAAGACGGTGAGGTGCACGCATGAATAGACGTCCATGTCGGCCCGGCGCAGGGAGGAGTTGGCAAACACCTGCCAGAGGGGGAGAAGGCGGTGAGGGGTCAAGGATTGGATGGGTGGAGAATGGGGTGAGGGGAGCAGGGGGGGAGTCAGACGAGATCAGCGTGCACAGCAGCAAAAGGCGAATCAAAAGACAAAAGCAGCGGGGGAGCTTACAATTTTGACAAGGTCAGCGTGCACGGGAGCACGCAGGCCCGAGGAGAGGCAGCTAGCCACGACAGCCAGCCCAGAAGCTCACCAGTTTGACCAGGTCTGCGTGCACGGCGGATCGCAGGCCCGAGGAGAGGTAGCTGCTCTTGACGGTGAACCCGCCTGTGAGGTCCGCGTTCAGCTTCGCCACTGCTGCACTACCCTTCACAGCTGTCTGCCCCACTCGGATCTGTGTGAGAGGCAGGAAGTAGCGCGTGCTGTGGGCGCGACGGGTGGAGGGGGGGAGGGGGAGAGGCGGAAAGGGAAGTGATGGGGAAGTTGCTTTTAAGTCGCGACTCAAAGGCTTTTCATTCGACTAGAAGTGAGTCATGCAAATCCGTGTCAGTGGAATGGAGTAGTGTGTGCTGTGGGCGAGAAGGGAGGATTTGCATCAGCAGCAGGAAGTAACGGGATCGCTGTGGGTCGCACACAAGTCAAGTCACAACCTGGCACACGCACTCAGTGCCACTCACTCGTTGTCAAACCGCCGCACATGGTCCGTGGTGGGAACATTGGGCAGTGGATGGGGGACAAAGGCAGGGCTGGGTTGCAGGGTGCACAGGGCACAATGCACAGAGCATGGTGCACCTGGGCTAGGTGCACAGAGCATGGTCAAGGTATGCAACTCACTCGTTGTCAAACCCCACGTAGTCCGTGGTGGTAACATCAGGAGGCACCAGCGGCGCGCCCAGCGAGACAGGGCAGGGTCAGGTTGGTGGGAACTCTCACTCTCATCATCAAAACCCCACGGGCAGAATCGTAAAACTCACTCGTTGTCAAACCCCACGTAGTCCGTGGTGGTAACATTGGGCGGCACCAGCGGCGCGCCCAGTGACAGGAACCCCGAGTTGCTCGTCGAGTCGAAGCACAGCGCAAACGCAGGAGGCACCACCGCTGCTGCCGCCAGCTGGTTGAGCACGGAGTAGCTTCGGGCGCCCAGGCCTAACACCCCGTCCACTGCCACTGGGTCGTCCAGGTCCTCCAATGGCCGCACACTCGCGCAGCTGGTGGTTGGGGAGGGGAAGACCAGGGGACAGGGGCAGGGAGGAGAGGAGAAGAGAGAGGGGTGGTTGAGCACGGAGTAGCTCCTTTTGAGACGTCTCAAAAGAGGAGAAGAGGGAGCGGTGGTTGAGCACGGAGTAGCTCCTGGCGCCCAGACCCAGCACCCCGTCCACTGCCACTGGGTCGTCCAGGTCCTCCAATGGCCGCATTCTGACGCAGCTGGTGGTTTGGGGGGGGGGGGGGGGGGGAGATTGTGGGGGAGAGGCAGGGGGGAGGGTTACGGAAAAGAAGGAGAGGGGGAGGGAGGAGCAGGGGAGAGGGATTGTTAGTTGAGCACAGAGTAGCTCACACCGCACAGGCTGACCAACCACCAGGCGACCAAACACCACAGTCGCCGTCGCGCTGGCGCTACTCCCATCAGCAGAAGCGAGCGCAATGCTATCGGAAACGAGCGTGCCGTTGGTGGCGAGGGAGTACTCGCACACGCCCTCCCTCCCTCCCTCCCTCCCTCCCTCCCTCCCTCCCTCCCTCCCTCCCTCCCTCCCTCCCTCCCTCCCTCCCTCCCTCCCTCCCTCCCTCCCTCCCTCCCTCCCTCCCTCCCTCCCTCCCTCCCTCCCTCCCTCCCTCCCTCCCTCCCTCCCTCCCTCCCTCCCTCCCTCCCTCCCTCCCTCCCTCCCTCCCTCCCTCCCTCCCCACCACCTCCACCAACTGGTCACACCCAGGCACCGGCGCCTGCGAGCACACACACACACACACACCCCACCAACCACCAACCCACCACCGCAGTACACCAACCACCAACACACACACACACAGCGAAACGTACCCAAACATCACAGTCGCCGTCGCGCTGGTGCTGCTCCCATCAGCAGAAGCAAGAGCAATGCTATCGGAAACGAGCGTGCCGTTGGTGGCGAGGGAGTACTCGCACACGCCCTTCTTGCCGCCCTCCCCCTCCGCCAGCTGGTCGCACCCAAACACGGGCGCCTGCTTGCACGCCGCGTCCTTGCACCCCACTGGCTTGGCCGTCGTGGATGCTGCTGTTGAGAACTCCGTGAGCGACTGATGGGGGGAGGAGGGGAGGGAGGGGGAAAGAGGGGGGACTTTTGAGTGGATTGGAAAGTCGCCTTGCACCCCATTGGTTTGGCCACTGATGGGGGAGGAGGGAACGGGGGGAGAGATGAGATGGGGAAAGGGGCAAATTGCAGTCGTTGAAGCGGACTCATGCACGAGCGACGACGGATGTAACGAGGGCAGGCGGCGGAGGAGAAAGAGGCCGGGGGGAGGGACGGGGATAGAGGGGGGGTTGGCCAAGGGAGAAAAAAGGAATGGAGACGCGGGAACAAAGAAGCAGGAAGGGAAAACACGGAAGGGAGGGAAAGAAGAAGCGACGGAGGAAGGGAGGGAGACAGGGATGGAGAGAGGGAGCAACGCAACGCACGGTGACGATGGTGGAGGAGGAGGGGCACTGCAGGCAGTCGCAGGAGACCCACGAGAGGCTCGTGCTCGTGTCCACGTTCACCGCGAACGACCGCGCCGGCGTGCCCAGCGATATCACCGTGTACATGCGCCTGCGGGGAGGGGAAAGGGGGGCGGGGGAGTGGGGCGGGGGAGTGGGGCGGCGGAATGGCGGACGGGGAGCAGGAGAAGTGCCGGGGGGGGAGAAAGGCCGGGGACTGGTAGCATCAAGCGTGGGACATGATAGGAAAACCACAGTGGCATCAAGCGTGCGGAAAAGTAGGGGAGATCTAGTAGCATCCGGTGTGCGCGTGTGGTGCGCGTGTGGTGCGCGCGCGTGACGCGGCATACCCGAAGTTGTTGAAAGGCGACGAGATGTTGAACAGCGCGTTCGCACCGTCCGCCGCCTTGCCCGCTAGCATGCGCCCTCGCCTCCGCTGCGCGCGGACGGGTGAACGCGGAACCGGGGGAGACGGGAAGGGGGGAATGTGGGGCGGAGGGACAGAGAGGGGGGAGGGGAAGGGGGAAGAGTGGGGAGGAGAGGGGGAAACGTCAGGACGGGGGGAAGCGGTCCGCGGAGAATTCAACAGGGAACGCAGTCCAGCAGGGGGGGGAGAGATCCGAGGAGGAGGAGCCAGATGGGGGTTGCGGAAGCTGTTTGCGCGGGGAATGATCACGAGCGTTGGCGGAACCTGATAAGAGTTGGCGGAACAATGGAAGGGGCGCGGGAAGTATTCCCCTAAGCCGCGATTCTGCAGACGGCACCACTTCCGTGCACCGTTGACCTTATTTCCCTTACCTCCTCGCCATTTCTCTCTCCTTCCTTGCCTCACGACGTCTCCTCTCCACGCCTCCTCTCAACCTAACCTCTCGACATCTCCCCTCGACCTTTCCTGTCAGTCTCTCCTCGCTCACCCTCTTACCCGGGCCGCACGCGAGTCGTACCGAGAGAGGCGCGGAAGCGGATCTGGCGGCGTCGAGAGAGAGGAAGACGCGCGACGTGAAGTGCGCGCCTCCGACGGTAGCGCCGATCGCGCTGCTGCCGTCCTGCGTGCAATGAGACACGTGTCACGTATTCCATTTAATGGGGAGAAGGGAGCACGGATGTGCGGGTGGGATAGCATGATGGCATGCGGGAGTGCGGTAAGAGTCGCGTCAAGAGATACGACACACTCTTTAGAAGGAAAGTTTGCAAGCTCGACACGTGCAAGTTAATGAATCTACGCCATTCGTGTCGCGTGCGTACGACGAGCGCCGTTCATTCGATTGCACACAGTGCGGACACACAAGCAAGATGCGCCCTGGGACAGTCGCGGTTTCTCAGCCTGCCATAGGCCCTGCGGATCACATACCATCTCACCGTGGAGAACAACTGAAAGCACCTGAAGGCACCTGAAAGCACCTGACGGCACCTGGGAGCGTTTGTGCACCTGTGAGTAGTGAGCTGTCGCTGCGGAGAGGAGAAGCAGGGAAATCAGCGGCACAAGCCAGTAGTATCTTGATAACAACCACGGACTCGGCCTGCCTAAGCTGCCGCCGCTGGAGCTGGTAAGACGGCTCGCTCTTTTACATCTTCTGCTGCCGCCGCCGCCGCTGCTGCCGCTGGTGCTGCTTCTACTCCAGTGGATTGTTACATTTTCTGCTTCGTTCCGCGCTTTTACTCTATGCTTCATTCTGATTAATCCACAAATCTGGAAATACGGTCCTCGGATTTGTTGTAGTCGTTATGAGTGCCTAGATGCAAGCACTTGAGCCAAATAGAAAGCTTTATTATGCTTGCAAAGAAAGCTCGTATTGCGAGGTATCGGCTGCGAGTCAGCTATCTGGTAAGGCAATACAACAACAAATTACTGAACGCAATAGACGGCAGGGACTGGAAGCTGTAAGCACGACCGCCAAGTAGAATTCCAGTCACTGGGTTGCATAGGCAGAGATATTCAGTCTATCATCTGCCAACCATGTCAATTGTTCCCGCCATGGATGTACAGTTCACAGGCATGACCATATTTCAGACATGTTCCGTTCTGCAGAACGGCACTACACAAGTCATATGGGCAGCTTCAACAAATCTGTCGAATTTCAGGATTATAGGTATTTTTCCTGTCATTGGTTAATAAGCAAAGTTAAGTCAATGTTGTGTCATTTTGTTTGGGATCTACACCCTATATTCTGTTAAACATTTGCTGCCTGCCCAACCCAGCAAAGAGCTCCTGCAAGTTCCTGTCGGTCGGTGGTTCTCTCCTGACTTCCAATTTTTCGTGCTGATGCAAAACCCACCGCATCTCACTCAGGGTGGCCGTCGACAGTGCCAGGTGCTGTCAGAGTGCGGCGCGGTGCAAGGACGCCCGAAGTGGTGCTGGGTTTGCGTCGAGGGAAAGAGAGCGCCACACCTGATGCAAGAGGATTTAGGGCGTATGTGAAATTTTTATAGGTTTGTAATTTAGGTCGAACCTATTTGGTTATCGTTGTCGCCAATGTCGCCGACACGGTTGGCGAAACGCACATTCAATCGAAAACACACAAATGCGACCAACAAAAAGTGAACAAGGCTCGAATCTACGCACGAACGTGAGAGTGCACGATGAACCGAACATTATGTTATTTTGGGCACACAAGAGAAGTTGACGAATTCCGCGATTTGTTCGTGCACCAATGAGCGCACCACTAAAACCAGGTAAAAAGTTCGTCTCGCAGAGCTAGACGAAACCAGGTAACCTAAATAACCTACGGGCGGCTCGGCTCACCCCCTATAAGGTCGAATGTGCAAATTCGAACTTGGGTAGTGGTTGGGGAAAATATGCCATTCGTAACCATCATGGGACTCGATAACATATTTGGTAAAAAAATAAATGGTACGGTCACTGCAAAGGATGTTTTCGCGCGACTGATAAAACGTTTCACGTAATCAGTCACTATCAAGTGGTAAAAAAAAAAAAAAAAACGCGAATGGTCATAGATGAAACTCCCGCCAAAACAAAATGAAACCCCAAAAGAACCTGGATGCATTTTCGGATGAATCAACCCTAAACACGTAACTCGCCAGGTGTTTAGGGTTGATCCGTTCCCAAACCGCATCCGATTCCGATTGGGTTTTAGTTTTTTTTAGTAGTTAGCAGATTGGTTGGGCGCGAGCGGGAATTTTGTTGAGTTTCAAGTTTTTTTGGTGGGAGTTACATGTGTGACCATTCGCGTGATTTTTTACCTGTTGTTAGTGACTGAATCCGTGACCCCACTTACCAAACCCGTCAGAAAACCCGATACAGTGACCGTACACGTTTTTTTTACCATTCACGTTACCGAGTCCCAAGTTGGTTACTTATGACATTTTTTCCCATGTGGTTGTGCTTCAACCGTTTGCGAGACGCGCGGCTCGGACTTTGCCATCAACGAAAGTCGAATTTTGTCCACCTCATGTTCAGATGCTACATTCGATTTTTAAAACGTAAACTTATACCAAAACTAAAATCACACACGCCCTTAGCAGGGCTACTACGCTATCTCTGTCAAACATTATACATGTTCATATTGTGTAGGCTATAGTGGGTTTAGCCTTAGGGGGTACAACATTGCTAGGGTTTCCTACTTGTATCACCCTGCTGCCTAGTTTTCACACATTCTCGTTCAGTTCTACATTCTAACATGGTATCACGAGCCTAGGTTGCTACCTAGGACCGCTTTCTCCTACGGGCCCACTATTCCGCTAGACGCGCCCTCGTGCGTCCTACCTTACGTGCGCCCTCGTGCGCCTTTCTATACTCGTGCGCCCTCGTGCGCCCTCGTGCGCCCTCGTGCGCCCTACCTTACGTGCGCCCTCGTGCGCCCCCGTGCGACCCGCCCTTCGGTCTGCCCGCGTGCCGTCCTGCAGCCCTCGCGCTGCCTCCTGCAAGCTAGTACGGCCCTCGAGCCGCCCCTGCAGGTCCGTCAGGCCCCCGAGCCGCCTCTGCAGACCCGTCAGGCCCCCCCCGAGCCGCCTCTGCAGGCCCGTCAGGCCCGAGAGCCGCCCCTGCAGCCAGCGCGCTGCCCTGCCGAGCCACGTGTCGCCCGTGGGCGCTGCCTCTGCCCCGTCGCGCTGCCCTGGGGAGCCGCGCGCGACCCCCGCTGTCCCGTCGCGTCGCCCTGGGAGCCGCGCTCGGCCCCCGCTGCCCTGTCGCGACGCCCTGGGGAGCCGCGCTCGGCCCCCGCTGCCCTGTCGCGACGTCCTGGGGAGCCGCGCTCGGCCCCCGCTGACCCGTCGCAACGCCCTAGGGAGCCACGCGCGACCCCCCCCGCTGCCCCGTCGCGACGCCCTGGGGAGCCGCGTGCGCCCCCCCCCCCCCCCCCCCCCCCCCCCCCGCTGCCCCGTCGCGGCGCCCTGGGGAGCCGCGCGCCGCCCCCCCCCCCCCCCCCCCCCTCGCTGCTGCCCGAGCCACCCTGCAGCCCGCGAGCCGCCTCTGCAGCGCCGAGTGCGCTCTGCCAAACCCTAAAATAAATAATTAATTATTAAAAAAAAAAAAAAAAAAGGGAGCAGCTGCCCCTGGCCCCTGGAGCAGCCGCCCCTGGAGCAGCCGCCCCTGCAGCAGCCGCCCCTGCAGCAGCTGCCCCTGCAGCAGCCGCCCCTGGACCTCTGCAGCCGCCCCTGGCCCCTGGAGCAGCCGCCCCTGCAGCTGCCGCGGAGCCCTCGCCCTGCAGTGGTAGCGGCCTCGCCGTTACCACCGTCGTACGCCTGCCCTTCTCGCCACTGGTGAGCACTGCCCTGCCCGTATTGCTGTTACTGCTGCTCCTGCTGCTACTGCTCTTTCTACTTCTACTGCTGCTCCTGGCGTGGCCAGATGCAGCTCCAGCGCCGTCCGCGTGAGTCCCTCACGCCCCAACAGCTTCGTGAGTGGTATGCTGGTTGGGGTTGTAGGGGTGGCCGCGCTGCTGCTACTACTGCTGCTACTACTGCTGCTACTACTGCTACTGCTGCTCCTGGCGGTGGCCAGATGCAGCTCCCGCGACGTCCGAGTGAGTCCCTCACGCCCCAGCAGCTTCGTGAGTGGTACGCTCAGCGTGGAGGGTCACGGGGTACTGCTCGCTGCCCGTACGTCATTCGCACTGGTGCTCGGACTGGTCAGCCTTGCGGGACGTTTGGTCACACAGAGTCCCGCTGCTTCGCCCGTCTGAGCGACGCCTGGCGTACAGAGTTTGGCGACGCGGCTGAGCTCCCCGACTGGGTGGAGCTGCTTAGGCAGAGGGTAGATATCTATGCTCTTGACTATGATGCTATCCTCACTGCCATGTATGCATTTCCTACTAGTGCTGAGAGTGCCTGTCACCTGTGTGTGCCGCCTGACCCCGGTATCCAGTCTGCTGCTCTAGGTACTGGTGAGGCTGCTGCACTAGGTGCTCGTGTGTCTGTTGCCCCAGGTGCTGGTGAGGCTGCTGCTCTAGGTACTCGTGAGTCTGCGCCCTCTGGTACTGCGTCTACTGAGGCACTGCACACCTTCACACTGGACTCAGGCGCTTCCCGCTGTTTCTTTCGTGACCGCACTGCCCTTGAGCAGCTTGCTCGGCCGGTTGCAGTCTCCCTCGCTGACCCCTCTGGGGGTCCGGTCATTGCGACCTCCTCTACTGTTCTCCCTTGTCCTGCGGTCCCGTCGGGCACTCTGTCAGGTCTCTACCTCCCCTCGTTCTCTACGAACTTGGTGGCGGGTAGTGCGCTCCAGGACGAGGGTGTCCACCAGTTTACCCCTGCCTACGAGCATGTGACACACTGCACGTGCGCTCGGACGGGCCGCCACCTGGCTACCTTCACTCGGCAGCCGGGGTCGGACCTGTACACACTGACCACTGAGTCCCCACAGGTAGCTGTGTCTGCGTCTGCGTCTGCGTCAGGTCAGCTGTCTGCCCCCTGCTCGTGTCGCTCTCTGGCACACGAGACTGTCCTCTGGCACCACCGTCTTGGTCACCCGTCAGTGCAGCGCCTTCGTGCCATGCACAACCGGTACCTTGTCTCTGGTCTTCCCAGGGTTCTCCCTCCACTCCCACCCTCGCCTGCTCCTCCCTGCCTTCCCTGTGTCGAGGGGCGGCAGCGCGCCGCTCCTCACTCCTCCTCGTTTCCCCCGACGACTGCTCCCTTGCAGACGCTCCACATGGACGTGTGGGGCCCAGCCCGCGTCCGTGGACAGGGTCAGGAGAGGTACTTCCTGATCGTTGTTGACGACTACTCGCGCTACACCACGGTCTTCCCCTTGCGCACCAAGGGTGAGGTCCCTGATGTCTTGATCCCTTGGATCCGCGCTTCTCGTCTCCAGCTCAGTGAGCGGTTCCACTCGGACTTTCCTGTCCTGCGTCTGCACTCTGACAGAGGTGGTGAGTTCTCCTCTGACCTCTTGGC